AAGACCCCAATTCTCTGCATCTTCAAAAGAATATTTTGTTTTCTTTTTAAAATTTTACTCCAGAAAGCTAAAGGACATTAAGTAGACCGCATTTTGGTTGATGTTTTGGTGTGTCACTTGTGGCAAGGAGTTCTGCTGTACCCAATTGTTACAGTTTTCTGCACTAGCAGACTGTGAGAAATGCAAAGAAATCACGGACCAAGCCGGGCAGTGAGCGTACCAGTGAATCCAGAGGGAACACACTCCATCCACCACAAGAAACTTCGGTCCTTTAAGTCATCATAGCTCATGCAGAACAGAAACAATTTGACATGTATAACAAGAAACACTGAGAATTGTTTGCCAAACAAAGACATATACTGCAGATGGAAGAGCTGATGAAATTTGTTTATAGTTGAGGAACTACATGTAGATTTTTCAAGAAGAAGGTTGCGCTCTTTCTTGCCAAGACAAACAAATCTGATAGAACATCTCATTGCTCTAGGCTGCCTGAGGACCCACTGGAAAGTCCATGGATCTTTTTCTACAGAAAAATTGCGTGTTGTCAATACCTAAGTGTATTGTCCACAGTTGCACTGTGGCAGCTGCAGAGGAAGTGGAAGGTTCTAGGGAATACATGAGGGAGAACTGGATTTTTGGCTCCTGAAAGAGTATGGAGTGCTTTTGGAAACTGTGAAAGAGGTTACGAGCTGAATGTTATAGCTACAGAGGGTTATCTGTGAGTTAAACATAACAGTAATTAATGTGGTGTCCTTAGACCTCAGTACTAGCTATTTCCATCATACAGAATTGCAGTTTTCCAGGATGCCTGCATTCCTACAAAGATCCCCAGACTTGCACTGTTACAAGTTTTCAGTTGTACCATTAGAAATATACTGTGCCCAGATGTTTTTACAAGGCAGTATACAGTTGTCACAAACAACTATTTATACTGGGCCAATTATTTAGGAAAAATGTAACAAGAGTGTAAATGCAATCCCTGATATGGACATAAAAGGTTTATTAGCAGAATAATACAGTTTTTACTTTCCTGACTTGTAATAGGCCCTGGAAATAGAAAACTAATCATGTCCTTAAAATTCTGTTGTATCTGTAAAAATATGTCTTGGAAAAGGGCCAGCAGCATTCTGGGCTGCATTAGGAAAAGCATTGCCAGCAGGGCAAGGGAGGAGATTATTCCCATTTGCTCAGCACTGGTGAAACCGCAGTGGGAGTGCTGTGTCCAGTTCTGGGCTCTCCACGATACGAAGGACATGGCATAATCAACTGGGTGAAGGGAAGGGACATGAAGGGGATTCAGGGACTGGAACATCTGTCTTGTGGTTGCCCAAAGAGGTTGTGGAGTCAGCATGCTTGGAGATGTTCAAAATCCAACCAAGCAAGGTCCTGAGCAACCTGCTCTGGTTGATCCTGCACTGAGAAGAGGGGTTGGACCAGGTGGTTTGCTCTGTTAATTCTTACTGTGTCCTTTAATCTAGAAATGAATATTTGGTGCTTTATGTTACAGAATTCATTTGATGTTTTATTACAGGTTTTCCTTCCTTACTAATACTGATATTAACAAATCACAGTGTATTTTGACACATAACTTTAGTGATAGGTACATACTATGTCTCAAGGAATTGAGAATATCACAGTTTGAGGAAGGTAAAATATATAATTACTATGGCACTTTCTATAGACAACTTGCAACTATTCTTATAGCAGCATCAGAATAAGAACAAGGCTGAAATGGAAAAATGGCTTGCATTTTTATTAAACAAAAGATTTGTAAGGGAAGATATTTTCTAGCTCAGATGAATAGTGCAATAAAAATTTACATGTGGTTTTTCATCAAGAAAATGCTGAGGAGCTAACTTGCACTGTTGCAAATTACCAGATCCTCCTTTCAAAAGCACTTTGTCTTTCATATCACCTCTAAGAAAGAGAAAAACCTTTGGGGAAAAAAAAAATCTTTGGAAATCGAGAAATTAAATAACATTACCCAAGGAAGTAGGGAAATAAATAGATTATAAAACTTTTTATTATTATTATTTTTATGTTGTACTTCATCAAGTGAAACAGTAGCATAACATCTGTTTCTTTCTTATCAATACATAGTCACATCAGGTTTTGTAGAACAATATTTAAATGCATCAGTAACAACTCTCATAATTAACAGAACACATCAAGTTTTGCAATAGATGAACCCATCTTGAAAACACAAAATAAAGTCTTCAGACTTATATGAAGGTCAAATACACATAGGGAAAAGTGCCCATCTGTTATTGCCACTTCTTCTTGCCTTACTGCTTTTACAGCATATCTCCTCTGATTGTAATAGTCGCTGTGTGGGATGTTTTTTTTGGTGGGGAGAGTATTATTTTAAATTGACACCTCCAGCAGCAGTGCCTCCTTCTGCTGTTTTCCTTTTATGAATTTATACCCTCTGATATCTATCCGAGCCTGGCGTAGCTCCAAGTCACCCATTTCTCAGTAATACAGGAAATTAAATCTAATGTCTAATAAGCACAGAGGCTTATGCAACCTCTGTTAGCTGAACTAATACTAAGCATCTTAATAATACTCGCTTGTCTTTTGATGGTTAGGGAGCTGTGCACTTGGTTGTGCTGCAGACCAACTACATTCTGCATTTGGATGAGGGGCAACTAGAATTTATCCATTGTTTCTTGGACACTTTCTGAATGTTACCTTGATATTCTGCTCATGTTGAGGGACGTGCTGGAACCTTCATGTCTAGGGTTTGTCCCATTGTCTGTTAATACCCCCACAGTTCTGTTCATGTGGGTACGGTGTTTAAATATACAGAAATCTGACCTTAAGCCATACCGATTAGCTCCATCATTTCAGGGGCATGTCACCTACATATATCAGTTTAATATGTGGATTTATACTGAATAATTTCAAACAGTTATAGCCCTATAAAACTGCTTCTGTCTAGTTTCTGTAATACACAAAGTGACACAGGGTCACAGATGCTGTGGAAATTGGTTTTGCAGCTGATATGCTAATTCAGCAAGAAATCAATTCTTGCAGAAAGCCAAAGAAAAATATTTTAATATAGTGCCATGCTAGTTGGTTGACTTTCAGGAAAGAGATAATTAAAACATTCAAGGGAGTTCCAAGTCTCTGGAGAAAATACCATTATGGAAATACAAGGTTATTTTTACCATGCAGCTTATAACTTCCTTATTAAAAGGAAATCAAGGAACTGAATATGATAAACACAAAGTAACATTTTCACCTCTTGAGGAAGATGAGAAATACTGCTATAAACCGAGTTCAGTATAGCACTAGACTTGCAATAAATGTAAATCAGATTATTTTCAGCCAACAGATTCTTCAGGGGCTGTCCTCCTCATCCCTCTTCTTCCAAGCCTATGCAACAGTCATTGGGAGCATTGATTATTTACCTCCTTTACTGAGGGTACACAATTGTAGGAGTAGAAAAGGATATAGGTTGGGAAATTCACGTAGTATATCCCCGGGCCCCAACAACCCACCACTCCAGGGTAAGGTCTGCAAACTCCATTGCACATGAGTTTGCTTCCCTGTCTGGCTGTTCTGCAGGAGATTTTCTGCACTTGGTTTCTTCCCATTGTGGTTTGGTTTCATTTTCTCAAATGCTAGACCACTTCTTCTGAGAGTTACCTTAGATGTCAGACAAGCATCCCCACATGTATTTGCTAACTACGTGTATTTATTCAGTTCAATGAGCTCTGATGTTTGTTGTAACACCCCATTTCAGTTAGAATGGCAGTGGGCTGTTGTAGAGCAGCCTGTGAAGCTGCCAGCCAAAAACTTAGTTTCCTGTTTATTCCTATTACTATCATGATGAATTGGGAATAGTTTGTGAATGCACAAAAATCCAGAAGAAAGAACCTTCTGCAAACTTCGTTTTAAAAAAGATACTGTCTAAAAAAGAAAAAAGAAAAAAAAAAAAGTTAACTGAGACAAGTTTTCTCAGCTGGAGGCTGCAGGGTTTCTGTGCCTGGCTTTAATAGTTACATATTTATCAGAAAGTTAAAACTAGAAACAGAAATGCTCTGCCAGGTAGCCTAACTGCAGCAGCCTTCATATACTACTCAGGAGAGTTTGGGGAGGGACTGTGGTATGGCAGTGTTAGTCCAATGGCCTGTAGTGTTAGGGCTGCAGAGGTCTGAAGGAGAGCCGTGAAATGAAGGGTCTGCACCCTGATACAATGCCCAGGCCACAGGAGCTGCTCAGCCCCAGCAGGGTTTATGCACCTGAGAGCCCAAGGCAGAGTTCAGCAAAGCCCATGGACAAATGGGAGGAACTTGGTCCAAGCTGTCATCTTCCCCTCCATCACCTTCGTTTTGTGCTACTGTAAATAAGAAGTTCTATACAGCTGCTTTTTGATGAGATAGGGATAGAAAATGTAATTCAGTGATTAACATTATGCTTCCAAAGTTTATTCCTATAGGCATACACAAGATGGATATGTGTCGCTCACTGCATAAAGACCTCCTTCTGTTTGACACTCTAGGACTTCTGTTCTTTACTGATTTCTACATGTAGCAGATAGACATAACAGTAACACTTATCTCAAGTGTAAAAGGTATTTTCTGGAAATCTAATGGGCAACAGAGTGGAATTTCTTTTTTTTTTTTTGTCTTTTTTTTTTTTTTTTTTTTGAGCAAGCAATCATTTAAAAGGTATATGACTTAATTTCTGCCAGAGATTGTTTTCTTGTGGCTTAGCTTGGTCACTAATCTGACTGCCTAGTTTACATTTACAGAGCAGGACCTGAGGTTTTCTCCATGTCTTCAGTATTATTGTTCTGATTTTGCAAGTCTTGTTGCTTGGGATACTTGTACAAGTAGTGTCTGTTTGCACAGCAACACCAGAATGAAGGTTAAGACGCTGCTATTTAATCAAGAGGGAACAAAAATAGTTTTGAAAGCTACCACTCTTCTTGGCTGATGCTCAGAAAAGTTGGTGAAAAGGGCAAAGAAGTCAACTGAGTACATTAAGGCCGATATTTTTTATATATTTTATTTCATAGCTGGATTTTTAGGAATCAAATTTCTAATTTATTTTACTCTGCTTTAGCAAAACGTGATTATTTTTTCCAAATGATTGTTCTGTTTTAGATGCTGTTGTCGACACTAATCAGCTTTTCATTTCATCTAGTAATGTCCACAAGGTGGTGCCACAGCTAAAAAATTAGCAATAAATAAAATTAATATAATTTGATAATTCTAACCGAGCATCATTAAAGAATGAATAAGCATTTCATAAGTAAAACATCATCTGCATTTCTAATAACATTACAGATTTGTACATTTTAAAAAAATCATTAGTGCATAAACATATACAAAAATGAGGAGATAGCTCAGGATCGAGTAGACAAATTAATGAAAAACGAAGAATTAGATCCTCATACAGATCCTGTATGTGTCCTAGCAGGACTACCAGTGCTCACACCGTGCCCCACAGAGGAGGCTGTATTACTTCCAGTACAGATGTAGAATTCAGCTCTCTGTCAGCCTTATCTGGTGCAGCCTGGCCTCTGCAGGGTCCCATCACTACTTTTCCCAATGTTTTAAGGTTTTGGAGGACTTGCTGCACAGATCCACAGTGAGCTGGGACAGCTCAGTTCAGGCACCCAACTTAGTACATCATCTTCTGTCGAGGAGCACAAGGAGATCCATGCTCACAGTAGCTTAAGCAGTACCATAAGAGTCAACCTGAATCTGGACAAGCAGTGTCACTCTTCCTCAGCTCTGGCCAAGACAGCCTCCACGTAGTCACCCTGGTGTGTCTAAAGCACATTGTAGCCAAATTTTATTTTATTTTTTACCCCACAGCCAGAATAGGCAGGGTCCCTGTTCTGTTATATAATAATGTACAGTTGGCATAGATAATGTACAGTTGATTCAGAAGGGGTAGAAAGTGTAGACAGTGGGACCTAGTATGAGTGCAGCTGGATTAGTGTACACAGACAAAATTAATAGTAGTCTTTTTTTTTCCTTCAGCTATAGTCAGAAAGGCAACCATCCCAAACTGTGTTACACAAAGAGGTAACTGAGTACATGTGATGAAGTTTCTGAGCATCTTTCTACACAAGATCAGACCAGAGAAAATAAAAGACAGTAACATGGAGCATACTATGACTATAAACATTAAATCCCCAATATGGGGGGACAATAGAACTTACATGAAAAATTTTCTCTGTGACTGTGAATGGCTGCACAGTTTTATAGAAGACTCACACGTCCCAGGGAACCTTGCCCATTCCTGCCAGTGTTTGCGTGCTCAGTTCTTCAGCCAGCCTTGGCCATGCTGCCTCCTGCACCCCTCCATGACCTCTGCAACATAGGTGTGCACACCAGCAGCATAAATGTTCTCAATGCACTTCTGTAATGGATAGATTAAGTTTGAGCCATTTGTACATGACATTATTTTGTATTAAAAACACTAAGAAAAAAGGATAATATAAAAATATTTTTCAAACAAGCACAGCATTGATTGACATTTACTGCTTAAATCTCTTTGGTGTGATAGAGCTGTATCAGAAAGAGTAATTTTTTTTTCACAATATTTTTTCTAAGAATTGCTTTATTTTTATTATAATATAAAATTCTTGTGGCTTGTAAGACTCAGAGGAAATGGTATATACCCAGTAATATGGTCTGTCTCCCAGCATAAAGCAGCATGAGAGTTAAAGTGTTTGTGAGCCTAGCTTTAAAAGTGTCAGATGGCACAAATACCTTTTTTTCTTTATGAATCATATTTTTAAATTCTATTTTAAGGTGATTTTGAGTGTCTTAAAAATTTGTATTGGATTTAACATCTGTTTGAACAAGTCAGAATTGGAGAACTTACTGAATGTACAAATCCACTGAACAGGTCAACTGGTTTTCATTTCTGAGTCAGTCCAGTGACAGTGACATTCAGTCAGCAAATTCTTGTAAGATTGCTCTCAGATTGCACACAGCAATGTGTGTTGCAATTAAGATGACATTTTCCTGTTTAAGTTTAGAGAGTGATTTTATTCTGACTGAAAAATGACTTCTGAATATGTATATTTTCAGATGCTTACCTGTAGATGCATACACACAGAGGAAATGATGCTTTATTCTAAAGGAAATAGCAGAGCATCTGGAATTATATATTTAAATTTCCACTGTATGTAAAAATTAAATATCCATCCACTATTTTAGTAATTTAACCAACTAATTGAAATCCTGAACATTTGTGCTTGTGTTTTATGTTTGCAATGATTTTGCATTCTTATTGGAAATCCCATAATTATTTTTAAAATACCAAAATAATTTTTCCACTGTCAGGATTTTTCTATCTTCCCTGTTTAGGTGATCACTGAATAAATCAAGGTTTAGCTTTATATCTCTATATCTGTACCTATAGTTATATTTAGATACCATTGCATATTTGTAGGAGGGACTTCCAGCATGCAAGGCTCAGGAGTCACTCTGAGCACTGGCTCAGAAATCATCCTGCAGATGCAGTGTTCTCCGGAAACAATTTAGAATGGCAGTGGTATCCTGCAGGATGTGTGCAACTTGTTCGGCTATGTGTTGATTTACACAGGACTATATTATAGGTTATACATTCTGGTAATTGTGGTATTATTACTGCTAGGCTATATCTAAGTACAGGAAATACATATAAGCACGTTTGAAGTGATAACATCCACTTCTGTTTAAAAAGCCATTTTTTATTCCTGATGAAAAATACATACCTAATGCAGCATTTGCGAGAGAAAACAGACAATTTCTTAGTACTTAGCAAGACTTTTAGGAAAAATCTATTGATTCTAGTAGGCCCGTAACCAGAATTTACAAATATATGCACATGAACTTTTATTCTTAATGTCTTTAGAAATGATTTTATAAGTGTGGGCTTGATCCCACATCAGGAAGGTGATACTACATTTCCATCTGAAAACAAGAGGACAGAGCAGTATAAATCCTCACTCTGTCACCAAAACCACAGTGCTACATTTCTATCAAAGGGGGTGAGTAATAATGATTCTAGCTTTGTAGAAGGTTTGGAGAAGCTAATAATTTCATCTCACTGATACAGCGGATGGCATTTGTATACACTACAAGAAAAATTTCATATTAAAATTTCCTCCTGAAAACATCATCCATCTCTCCATACACATAAGAAAGCCCCTCTCACCCCCCCCCCCCCCCCCCCCCCAGCAACTTATGTGTGCCTGTTTATCAAACATCAGGATCCAGGAGCAGGCGCACTCTCTATCCAGCAGCCCCAGCTTCCTGCTGTGGTTCAGGAACAGGTTGGCTCCAACCGTGACTTGGAGAGAGAAACCCTGCTCCTGGCAGGGGATGCTCAGGGCCTGCCAGACCCCTCCCAGAACACCTCTCACCATTTCCCTGTAACAGTGTGGGCTTCAGGCCTGCATATCTACCTGGGGAAAGGCTGTGGGGTGGTTCTGTCTAAAACAGGGAGGGAATATCCATCAGCTTTTGTACACCAACCTCTGCTCATCAGACAAGACTGACAAAACATAACCACCATATTAGCCATACCATGCCTATTTTTGACTGATTCATCAGGGAAAATATATTAAAATTAATGCAGTTTTCCCCTTGTTTCTCCAAACAACAGAAAATTATCAGGGGAGAGAAAATAAGACAAAGTCTTAACTTTAAACAATAATTAGAGGTGAGGATGTGATGTCCTCCCAAAAGGCCTTCCAGCAAAACATTATTATTTTTTTTTTTTACTATTATGAAAGATTTTTACCTATATTAATAAATTAGAAATGTAATGGCAGAACTGTGAAATAAATTAATAAATCAAAAATATAAACCCTCCAGGCCATATCTAAATCTATATCCATACTACTGCATGATACAAATTATATTGCAGAGTAAAATCACAATTAGAGTTGATGCTATTTGATACTTTTCCTATTTGTAATCCTGTACTGTGTAATATTGCTACAGATCAATAATATAATGCTATATTGCACAAATTGATTTGTTGAAATGAGAGTTATGAGTGAGGTTCTGGCAGACGCTGCAAAATACACTAAAGGATTGTCCTGTTATAATGTCTAATGGTGATATGATATATGCATACCTAAAATAGCCCCCAAACTGATGATTTGCTTCAATATTTCATTATATATTGTTTTCATTATATATAACTCAATATTAAGAATGTATTTGTCTTATGAATGTGTAAATGATACTGGTCTGAAATTTTGGTGCTGTCAAACTAACACTGAACAGAACTTTAGTTTTGTTAAATCTCAAACTAGACAGATTTTGAAATAATAAGATGGGTGATGCATCTACATTCATATTAATATGCCTTTGCTTTTTGGACATTTCATTATAATATTGTTTTGGAAGAGTTACCTAGTTATGTAAGTCTTGATTTACAAGATAATTTGAAGATACATTTAATTTTAACTGTGGTCTTCAGTATTTTCCTGAACGGGAATCTCTCTTCTTATTTTAAACTTGTAATATCCTGTTTAACAAAGGAGCAGCTTCAATAATACTTGGAGTACTCACTGTTCTTCAAGTTTGTTAAGTTTGTTGCTGGGATCAGGGCTTTAAAAGCAAAGGTCAGATAAATTTCCTTTCTTGGAACACACTCAGAAACGAGCTGCAATGTTTATTTTTTCTTTATAAGTCTACTTATTAAATAGTTAAATGACCAATGATAACTTTATCTTTAATACAATTAAATGTATTTGTATGGGTCATGGAAAAGAACAAATGTATGGATTCTGTTGAACAGCACACCTAATGTAGCTGCAGCGTGTGTGAACCTTTCTGTACCACATGCAGATTTTTCCTTTCATTAAGCAGTAAGAGACGCATGCAAAAATAATTTCACAACTTAGAAAAGGCATTCTGATGTCCATCTCTCTATTTCACATGGGAAATATATTTCCTCACTCTTGTACATGATACCAAAACCACTGTGTCCTTCCTTAGTCATCACTATGGAGGATCAATTGCAATGTCCATATACATTCCAAGCACTGCACGCTGTATAATATGTAATTAGCTGAAGATATCCAAAGGAAATTGCGTTTCATAACATCACAATTGGACAAGTATGTCTCCTGTAGTAATCAGCAGCAAGAATGTGATTTTACTTCAGTGGACTACAATAGAATCTAATCTTAAAATAACAGTTCATAACACTTTCCAATAACAATGTTATGTTTCAGACATAATGAAGTTACTTTAGTCAACTTTTGTTGGACTTTAGAAGAGCAACTTGTCAGTAAATGTTTAGTGGAAATGTATATGTGTATATGTTTTAACTGAAGTCCACTAATGAGTCCTCATCATTAAAATCTTGAGAGATCTACTGCTTGGGCAGATCCGTGCTGAGCCCCAGAGTGGTGAGGACTGCTGGGCAATTAGGAGCTTCCTCACCTTGCCCAAGTAGTGTGGCATTACTCAAACACCTAGGGCTTTGTTTGTGGTTTAAATTTCTAAAAGATAAAAATTTCTTAAGCATTAGAAGTCACAGAATTTACAGATCAGACTGTGTCATTCCTCTAGTATTATTACATCTTTAATAAAGCTGTAAGAAGCTTTGACAGCCAGCCTGACAGATACACTCTTTCATGTTTTGGGTAAATAATCACTAGTGCCTGGCATCTAACTTTACAGGTTATGTCTGAATACATTTGCAAACAGTTCTTTTAGGTGACACAATGAAGTGGGCAGCATAAACGTAGAAAACTCTGCATAGCATTTTGTCAGCGTGCCAGAACAAACTTGTAGGGATTCCTAAAGTTTCATTTCAATTAATTGCCACAATGCTGAAATCCATTTATTCCACACTAAGGCACATCTTAGTCCCAAACACTGTCAGCTAGCATCAGTGCAGGCCACCTGACCTTTCTTCCTACACAGAAGCCCCCCTTGATGCAGGCCAGGTCGTCCGCTTGTCTCTGGGCCTGGTCAGCCAAGGCAGGTAGGCCGCAGTCGGCCTGGGCCTCCCTTGCATTTGGTTGCATGGCATAAGGCCAACCTCAATTGGCATGTCTGTTCTTCCACAAAATAAAATCATTATAGGCAATGAGATGAAAAAGTGAAAACCCCTCAAAGTTCTTAAATTACATCTACTTTTGAAAAGGAGCAATATTGAGCAGATACTCAGGGAGGCAAGAAAGCCCAGTGGATTGAGAAATCTGGGGTATTTCCCAAACTCTCCTGCCTTGTAAATGACCTTGAGCTGTCTTCTCTGTGCTTCAGTTTCCCCATCTTTACGAGGAGGTTAATAACTCTCCATAATGATTTTAGGTGTACTGAAGGAAGGCACTGTATGAAGGCTAGGCATTGCTTGCGTTAGCCTGAGATGGATCCATGTGTGGTTAAAGATGGCCATGATCT